TCACGCCGCGCTCAGCTCCCTCCGCTCCTCCGGTACCCCGGCTCACAACCGCTACCCTGCCCGTTCAGGATCTACTCCCGCCTTGGAAACCGTAAGCCCAGTTTCCTTTTCTGTTTCTCCTGATTGTCTCACCCACCGTTTCCCCCTAACCTGTGTCTACATCCTAGACCAAGAACCGAGGATTCCCCTGCTCACCTGGCAGCGCTCAGTTTCCCGTTCCTGCTCATCGTTTTAGCTGAACCTTCAGTCCCCTACTCAAGATTAATAAAATTCAGTTTTTACCTTATCCACACGGTCTCCTGGTTTGATTCTGCATGTCGTGGGTCAGACGCTCAACCCCCTCCATGACATCCTGGGCCTGAATCCATTATTGTTTCGTATAGAGGCCGACAGATATATTCAAGTTTTTCTATATCGGCTGAAATTATTTTTAAAAGCCGATAAAATAAATAAATAAATAAATATATCAGGCACCTGTGTGGCCAACTGCTGCCACTACTAGTCTAAAGAAAGGACCCAAACGACTCCAACATGCTGTTTTCTTTAATGTTTTGAGTTTGTTTTATATTTGATATTGAATAAATACTTGGCTTTAGATATTGGCAACAAAATTCTTTAAAAATTGGTATCAGCATCGGCCTTAAACCCTTTTCGGTCAGCCTCTAGTTTCATAGTAGCATTAATCATGATTTAAATCATTAATTTTAATCGGTGACATATGACTCTGTATTCATTTTAATTCCGTTTATTTATAAAGCGCCAAATCACAAGAGTCGTCTCAAGGCACTTAACAAAGTAAACATTACACTTGAGATCAGTTCATTAAGCCAATTAGTAAAGTTTCCTGTAGGAACCCAGCAGGTCGCATCGAGTCACTGACTCGTCTCAGAGACTTTACAACAATCCCCAATAAACAAACATAATAGTCAGCAGGATGAAAACATAACACTCCCGGCATTCAGGCTGTTGTGTCTTTATGAGCAGAGAGGAAACTGTACGCTAATTTTCATTTGATGTTTTTCAGCCTGTTCATTTGTTACAGGCTCTTATTGTGAAGGGGTTTAAAAGTCTTAGTTTGCTGTTAGGATAATAAAAGCAGTAGCCGGACTCATTAAACCAACTCCTTCATGTTTCAGCTACAAACTGCACCCTCCAGTTAGAACAGAGAAGGGAATTTAACCAGCAACCCCTGAGTGAAACTGATGCCATTCTTCTGGTTTCAAGAGCAACGGCAGGATGAAGAGTTAGCTGTAGGCATGGGCGTCGCACTGTGGGGGATGTGGGGGATTCAACACCCACACTTTTCCAGCCGTTTTGCTCACCTCCACACCAGTCTGGCTTCTCTACGTCGCACTCACTCCGTTTGCCTCATTTCCTTCTTCCCCTCCCTCTGCTGCTTCTCCTTAAACCCGACGTCGGCTGTCGGGTTTCAGGGAGAAACAGGAGAGGGAGGGAAGAGCTCGACTGAATTCATAATTTTACATCTTGACATTAGCTGTACAAACTCTCAGTTTGAAAAAGTGAAGAACAACAATTTGCAGAGGTTTATAACAGGCGCGGCGCCAGGTTTTCATTTTTGGGTGGGCCACGGTCATAGGCGGAGATCCCAGGGGGGACCCCACATAAGTTATTGTAAACACATAAATGCTAGCAGTAAACCTGTATTGTCTTCTAAAACCACAACGTAAAAGTTAGTCTGCAAATACAAAACAATGTGTTTTTAATTGTTGAGAAATTATAGTCCAACCCCCCCACCCCCACCCCCCACCCCCCCCCCATTCCTCAAGTTGGTACACGCGCGTTTCCAAGGGGCGGGGCTGCCGCTCACAGCTTCACGGCAGCCCGCGGCAGGCTCACAGGAGGCGGGAATCAAAAAGCCAGCGGTTTCCAACAGTAAGTCAATAATCACACGCTTGTTCTACAAACTTAAATATGTGTGTCAAATGTGGTCATAAATGTCAAACATAGACACCGATTATCTTTAGATTTTGATCACCGGTCGGAGATCCCTTTATGACAGACCACCACCACCACAGTAAAAAAAAGTTGTCACTTCATGTTCCCTGGTCATTTCAGGACATGTTGCTTCAACTATTAACGATCTGCTTTTAAATCTTTATTCTGAATTGCTTATTCCGTTTTAGGCCACAGTCTTGTTATTGAAATGAAAACAAAAAGAAAGGATGCTTATGGAGATGTACAAAATTGGCAAGATGTTATTGTTGATCAATATCCTCCAGCTCCGTTCTAATGACAATATCCCATCTGTGTGTGTGTTGCTGTACAACTGTCAGCAGACCAGGTCAGTTGAAATGGCAGAGAAACGAAAAACGGCAGACATCAGGTCGTTTTTTAATGCTCCAGAATTTGAAACTTGCATTTTGATAAAGACATCTATAAGAAAGAAATGAAATTGTTTCTAAACGGTTTCATTAGGCAAAGTCCAGTCACTTGAGCACAGGCAGCCAGAGCCTGTCAGACACAGGCACAGAGTCTCAGGTCAGTCTCCTATAAGGACATACAGTGTTGTATGTAGAGAGCATTTTTTTCATGACCCTCCAAAAATTACTCTCTGAAGTTTTACTGTTTATTGCCCCCCCCCCAAAATTGAAATGGGATTTCCGCCCTTGGCCACGGTCATTTTGGGCGGACCTTAATAAGCAGTGACTTCAGTGAAGCAGGCAGGTCGCGCTAGAAAATTTCGTTTAAAAAGACATCAAAATTTTTCCCCCGTCATTTTTATTTTTAAAATATGAAGTAAAAACTCCCAATTTAATTTTCATTCATTTTTCATTTATATGCACCAGAATGCATTACCTGCACTTCTAATATTTACCTCTCCACGTAGGACTCTTTCATAAGGGTACATGCACACCAGTAGTTTTTACGGTTACTCATGGGGCAAAATCTCCGACATTTTTGAACAAAAAAATAAATAAAAATAAATAAATCCATCTTCCAGTAAAAGCAAAGCATCCAGCCCACCTCTCCAAATGCGGAAAATGTGCATCACAGCCGCTAGGCGCGCCGCGCGCACCGTCAGCTATGTCAGCCCAGACAAAAGCAGAGCAAATAGAGACAGAATAGAGGATAATTGTGTCTGGATGTGGATGGAGATTACATTTTACAGCAACCTGATCATCATTTAAATACATAAACCATCACCTGTCTTCTAGTCCACGCTATCAGCATTATTTTAATTGGTGTGTGAGCGTTTGTGTTTGCGTGCGTGCGTGTGTGTGTGTGTGTGTGTGTGTGTTTTCCACTTCAAACACTGGTCTAACCAACCAGACCAGCATGTCCAGCAACACAGGCTAGGAACATTCCACCTGCCGTGGCCCGACCGCTTCTGCTCCACATGAACTTTGTGCGTGATCAAATGTCTCTACAGGTGCTTTCTGAGCTGAAGAGGCTATTCTGCCTCAGACTGGATGCGTCATGCGTCTCCATATTGGAGACGGGAACAAGCGCTATTCAGCCAAAGTTTCATAATCAGCCAACATTTTTCCAAGTGACACATCCGTCAGAGAGACCGGCTTTCCAGACCGCTTCAGTGGGAGGAAATCTTATCGCATGCGCCGTGGTTCTGCGCTGCGAACCCCTCTACAGATCTTCAGCTCACTGTCCACCGTGTGCGCTCCGAGCCGCGCTGAACACAGTGTCCAGTATAAAGCTCTGATGTTCTGATGGGAATCTTTTCTTCATTGATTTAGTTTCCTCTGCGATGTGCCTAACGATTAAAATGTCAGCTCATCAGTGTGAGTCGGGGTAATTCTTTCAAAACAACCAACATCCTTGAGTTTATCGTCCAAATAAACAGTCAAATGTAAATATCTGTAACCTGCCATTTAACTGTTTTGCCTTCTTGTGAAGATTGTTGCAAAGAGAAACAATTAAACCTGATTAACCCCAGAGCCATGTGCACTGTGCTGTACTCTGTGACTGTAAATGAGGGGGAGACGATTTAATCGGATCCTTTTCTTTTCAACATGGTTTAATGTAAAGTTTCATTCAGTACAAACTTTAGTTACACCAATCTAACGAGACAGAGCCTGGATTTGTATTCTGAACAGTTTAAACATGTTTAAAACGGAGACATGCGTGACGCGTCTATAATTCGCACCTGCTCCGCTATTATGGAAATGAAACTAAGATGAATAACATAAAATTATTTTAGGCACAGACAACATCCCGCACACTTTTGAAAATCTTGCAACGTGCCTGGCTGTAGGGAGGAGACACAGAGAACCTGTTAGACCTTCATTATGTGGACTTTATTCCTGATGTTCAGGTGTAAAAAAATCTTTAATTAGAAACTAAAATCCTGTTTCCTACAGAACTAGTTACCACGGTAACTATTAAAACCAATATCTAGTTCATCCTCACTGTAAAAAAGGACCTCTTCACCGCTGGACCTGGTCCTAATGAGATGAATCAGAACCAGAACTTCATAAAAAGTGTCAAATTTAAGTTCCCTAAAAACATCTGTAAAAAGTTTCTAAAATCATCAGGAATCAGGTCAACTTGTGAAAAGACGCTAAAAGCATCTCCTCTAAACTCCAGCAGACCCTTGTTTTCGTTTTTATCATAATAATAAATAAAAATGTTACAAACGTTGGTGCCTTTCTCGCTCTGATAGTGATGGCATCGCCTGACCCGCAGCAGACTTCACTCTGAAACTTTTCCATCCGCAGATCATTATTTTCCAAGCAGCCGGACTCACAGTTGCACCGACTTCGTGCACGCTCGTGATTTCACACCAAAGCGGCGGCCAAATGCTTCCAGATAAAGAAAAGCATTGTTCTAAAGGATCCACACGAACAGGCCATGGTCCAGAAGCAACGTCCCAATAAGACCTCCTGAAGGAAGCTCACACCGCAGCTTCTTCGCTCGACGCCAATCCAAGTAGACACAACAACTTCCAGAACTCCAAAATCCAAGAAAAAACCCAACAACCAAACGGTCAAATCCAGATCCGAAAGAACAGGAGCAGCTCTTACCTCGATGAGGAAGTCCCCCGTCCTGAGCCCCGCCTGCCACGCCACTCCTCCCTCATCCACCGACTCCAGGTACTGCAGCGCCGGGAAGGCTGGCGTGGGCGTGAACTCCTCGATGGGCGTGTCGGCTGCAGCACAGAGGAGGAGGAGCAGGATTACAATCAGAGAGGATGCTGTGTTCTTACTGACCTTCGTCGTTTCACCAAACAGACTAAACACAAACGGAAGAAGCAAAGCAGACCCATCAGGCTGAAACCAGGAACGCCTCTGTCTGGCTGGATCAGTAACTCTAGAGCAGAGTAAAGAACAAGAATGTCTGAAATCCCTAAAAATAATTCACAGCTGATAAAACTATCAGAACAAACATGTAAAACAGATATGATGTTTACGAGTTCTCGGAGTTTGTTTGTGTGACATTCTGATGTCAGACGGATTTATTCTAATTATTAAAAATGTCTAATTAAAGTAAAACAAACTGCAAGAGAAGATTAATACTGGCAAACACAGTAAAACCGATATGTGAGGTAATGCAGGAACACTTCATTCCCAGGTGTTTCTGTATATGTGAACAGCCTCTGTTCAGAGAAATAATGGAGTAACTCGGACCGTCGCAGCTCGGCCCGACCACTGTTCCCATATTCACGGTTCAGTAATTTTCCTCTACTTTCTCCCCTATTTTTAGCCTCTGCTATGTAGGGTTGTCATGGTAACCAGTGTAGCGGTAAACCCCGGTAAAAAAGTTGACAATAATAATAACCGTCTTGTTTTTTAAAATATCCATTATCTCGGTGGATTACCGTGGCTACGGTGTAGGCGCGGTGACCCTTACCAGCCACCGTATCATCTGCTGAAGTTGCCGGCGGCACATGCGCACTTTGCTGTTTACAACCAAAACTTTCTTTAAGCTAGAGCTGAAATAATGGCCAAAGGAGGAGACGGCAGTGCTCAGGACATTTATTATCCCTCAAAGAAGACAAAGTGGGAAGTACGGGCATTTTTTGGATATCTGAAGAATGCCGAGGGAGTTTATAGAAGACGGCTATCCTGTTTGCAGCACGTGCAGAAAAAGTGTCTGTGAAAGGCAGCAACGCTTCAAATCTCATGACACATCTGCGTGACCATCACCCACAACTCTACAGTCAACGCAAGGCAAGCTAACGTTAGCGTTTTAGCTAAAATGCGTGATCTGAGGATTTGGTTGAGGGAAAATGCAACGAGTCGCTATATAAAGCAGCCGCAGCGCCGCTACCTGCATATAAAGCGTGTCGCGGACACCCCCGTGTCGAAATGACGCTATGCATTACGGGAGTCCCAGGGGCAGATAAGAGTTGGTCTCTCTCCGAGAATAATTATGAATTTAACAATTATTACTGCCTGATGACATTTTCCCAAATCTGCAAATCTCACAGGAAGGACACAAACCGAGGACAATATTTTCCTAATATAGGGTTTATTACTCAAGTAAGGGTAAAAAAGTATCTGATTAGAAGGCTACTTGAGTACTGAGTGTCATCTGGTCTAATATTTTTAAAATTATGACATCAAACAGACAAAAAATAAGAAGTTATGGGCAAATATTGGTATTTTAAAGACTTAAAGGGGAAAAATGTAAACAACATAATTACAAAATAACAAATTTTAGACAAAATTTAGACACAAACTGAGGACAATATATTCCTGATATACAGGGTTTATTTAGTTGTCTGAAAATGTAGCACGTTTAAAAAAATACAGCGATAATACCGAAAACCGTGATAATTTTGGTCACAATAACCGTGAGGTTAAATCTTCACGCCGTGACAACCCTACTGCTATGTTGAGGTACCTGGCAAGACTGAGTCAGGCCGGCATCGTGATTCTGGCCTCTGATTGGCTAGGGGGCGGAGTCACCGGTTGCTCCGGTATTTTTTGCCTTGTGTTTCACTGCCTGCACCCATTTCCTGGTTCAGAGTCTGACAAAAAGCAATAAAACTGAGCAAAATGTCCAGCAACAGCACTGTTTTTCAGCTGGAGCATGCAGGTTAGCTTACACTGGGCTGACTCAAACCGTGCTGTACAGAGCTGCGTTAGGCTGAGCTGTGCGCCTGGAAATCTAGCTGCAGAGTTCATGTCCCTCAGGACTGATGTGCAAACGATTCCATTTTTGGTTCTTTTTAAAACACAGGAAAGGCTTCTCTTTGCCTTGCTGACAGTTTCGTTTGCGTCTGCAAACATCCTCAGAGCTGACACTGATGGTGGCGTCACTTCCTACTCCGTGTATCTGCGGGCAGCAGTAGGAAGTGACGCCACCATCAGCGTCAGCTCTGAGGATGTTTGCAGACGCAAACGAAACTTGGCAAGGTAAAGAGAAACCTTTCCTGTGTTTTAAAAATAACCAAAAATGGAATTAGAAGCCAAACACAGAAAGAACGTACCAAAGATGATGTGTTAACGGCTAGTCTGAGAGCAGCCGAGACCAGCGTGAGTTGCTGTGGGTCATGTGACTTGGGCATAAAATTTCAAA